GTGTAAACGGAAACCGGAAGTTTGTCATAAACATCATTCTGGTCTTCTTTCTCAAACATGTTTTGCATATTCGAACTCTTGGACTTTCTCGCAATGATCCTATTGTTTTTGAGTTTATCGGCCGCCTTTTTCTTATCATTATTGTTCTTATTATTGCTGGTAGTCTCGGACTTGTTGGTCGAAGTGAGTGATGCTGATGTACTGTCAATCATCACGGGCCTTTTGCTGATGTTGGTGATGTTATTATTGACACGACCTTTTCCCTTTATCGCAGTGATGGGTACTGTTGTTGTTGTTTTGGAAGTTTGATTGGAATCTTTGCCAATTTCTTTGGAATTAAGGTCGACGATGTCATCATCATCATCATCATCAGCATCATGATTGACGGAGTTGGAGGTATTTGTCTTATTATTCTTATTTATTGTCGCCGATGATGACGTGTCATGATTGTCCAACTCGTTGGTTCTATTCCCGATTTTACCGGTCTTGACCTTCTTGATCAAGTAATACCGACTCGGTTTCCCCGCGACGAGTTTGACGACCTTCCGCCTGAGGTGCGATGACGAGGGCGGCAAACTGGGTCTCTTGCCGGGTTTCTTCAGGGTCACGTTTTCCTCCTCCGTGTCATTATTCAAATGAGCTGCTGTTTTCTTGGTCAATGATGCCGGTGGCACACTGCTGCTGCTGCTGAATTCTGGGCGATCCTTTTGTTTGTTGGTGGTGGTGGTTTCATTAGCCTCATCATTATTTGGCCAGGGGCCGAATTCCTCGGGATCCCATAATGATTCGCTGTCCTTGAAGGGCTCGAAGGGAGAGTCCAAGTGGTCGAATTCCACGTGGTCTGTCACTGGGAACAACAAGCTGCCCTTTTCCTCTTTGGCCAGGGGCCGAATTCCTCGGGATCCCATAATGATTCGCTGTCCTTGAAGGGCTCGAAGGGAGAGTCCAAGTGGTCGAATTCCACGTGGTCTGTCACTGGGAACAACAAGCTGCCCTTTTCCTCATCAACATCGACATTGAAAAAGGGCTCATGATGAGGAGCATCAGCAGAGTCCAGCAGGAGAAAAGACTGCTGGGAAGTTGCAGCAGCAGCAGCAGATGAGTCATCAGTGGTGACATCACCTGCTGCTGCTGATGTTTCTTGTGCTGACAATGTTGCTGGTGGCTGAAATTCTGCATAAGCTTCTGTTGTTGTTTTTCTTTTTCCTGCTGCTAAAGTATCTGCTGCTGGTCTCCACATTATTGTGTTGGGATGAGTTGCAGTGGTGGTGGTGGTGGTGGTGGACTTGTACTTTCTTATTTTCATTCCTCTCATGAGGGATGAGCTGCTGATGATAGTTGATGATGATGATGGTGTTGGTCTTGTTGTTCTTGTGGTGGTGATGGGGATGGTATTTGGGGATGTGCTTCTCCTTGAAGACTTATTAATCTTATTGGTGTATCTACTACTGGCTGTACTGATGGTGTCCAGATAAGGTGTAGTGCTGCTGATGGTGGTGGTTTTTGAGGGTTTGGTTTTGGCACATTCTGTGGATGTTGTCACCTGAGCACTGTAACCATGCAGACATAAATTAATATGTTAATACCATAGTTTACTTATTGAGTATACCGTATTTACTCAAGTACCACGCGCACCTTTTTTCCCAAATTTCAGAAGAAAAAAAGGGGTGCACATCATAAGCGGGTACAAAATTTTCAAGAAGTTTTAGGAAGTTATGTGTGGATTATGCTTGATTATAATGGAGATATTTTGAGCAAATGTAACAAGAAAATGTTTTTTTACTGAAAAAGTTGAAAATTGATGAGATTTTTGTACAAGTCATGCCTGAATAAAGTCAATTTTTTGGTTTTTATTTGCACAATTTCGTGGTTTCACATTCACTAAAAATTGGGGTGCCCATCTTACTCGGGGATAAGATTTTAGCAAAATTTCCAACTCAAAAACCACTCTGCATGCCTTACTCAAGGGCACGTGGTACTCAAGTAAATACGGTAATAACAATAAGTAATCTAAGCTTTTACATTTTCTATAAGTTACCTGAATTACCTGTCTGTATGACACTGAGCACCCTCTTTTCTCACCTCAAGGTTAAGATAAAAAAGGTGTGCATTGTACTTGCATACATGCGCAAACTGATGATATTGGTTGAGGTGCAGTTGCATGTAAAGTATGTGATGAGACATATCTTGAGTGCTTGTCTGTGTAATGGTCAACTTGTTGAAATGACCATCAAAGGGAATATTTGGCAAATGTAAACTGATGGATGAAATGTCATCAAACTTTGATTGAAAGCCATGCAAATACTTACATCAAAACTGGTATGCTTTAAAAAAATTGCATACATTTGAGGCACAGATGAATTGTTACTGTTATTCATGCTATAAGTACTTACATCAATTTAGACCTTACATCATAAAATTTGTTGAGATATGCGTGCAATTGCAAAAAGCAAACCTCTTGATGATGAACTGTGTGTACCAAAATGATGAACAAAGAAGAGGTGTGCTGCAATTGGGGCTCAATTGCTAATGTATTGTCTATATATAGTGGTGGTCAAGGATTAATTTTCCTTGAGGCAAATGATGGAAGGATTACCTTGAGACAGTGCTGCTGCTGGATGACTTCTTGGAAGCAGTGGTGGCTTTTGAAGCCAGGGTTGTGGTGGAACATCTCTCTGCACTAGTTCCCAAAGAGTCTGGCTTATTCCACTTGATTGTTGTGAAGAGCTCAGAGTCAGAGTCTCTCAGGATCTTTTGCAGTGTGAAATCAGGTATGTCTGTTGTTGCTGCTGCATTTTTTGCTGGGATGATGGTTGACTCATCATCATCATCATCATGATAATCATGATCATCATCACAAACTACTGCTGGGATGGTACTCAATATTGGACTATCAGTAGTGTTGGTCTCTCCTGATGGAGACAATGTAGAAATCTTTGGTTCCCTCTTGACTGCCTCTGCTGTGTCTAATCTGCACTCATCTGCAGAGGAAATATGCTGGATATTGACAGAGCATAATAACAGCATCATGTATATACACTGCGTATAGTGCTTTATGCATATATTTGAAGCAAGAAAAATCACCTCCCCAACCAATGCACTGAGATTTATGTTGCAGGAACTTGTCCAAATAAGCATCCAAAGGAGCAAAGTACCTCAGCAGGGGTTGGAGAGAAAATGTTGAGAAACCTGTTGTTCTGTGCAGCAGAGTTTTCCAGTGAACAGAAGAACCAGATCTCATGATGCTCCTGCATGTAAATACATATACAAAGGAGACATCAGTGATGGGCAGAAGAAAAAAGATTATTCCTTGTCCATATAGTTTCCAAAATTCAATTCAATTAGTGTACAGAATTGTAAATTTTTTACTTGAGAATTTCCCCAGCTCGCTTGTTGTTGTACAGGTTACAATGGTGCAGTCTTTGCTTGCCTGGTGAGTTTGGTTTATATTGTCCTGCTGCTTGACACATGGCCTCATAGAACTGGAACTGCAGCACAGAGCTCAGGAATTGACTGAAGAGGATGCACATGGCATTATTTTTAGAACTCCAATAATAATGAGTAGCGGTTTCACTGATTAATTCACAGAATCCATGCAGCAGCAGTGCTGGCTGGGATTGAAATATTTTCTGTGCTGCCTTGACATCATAACTGATGATTGTTTTAGAAAAAACCATATACAGGTGGTACCTTACAATATGACCTCCCACAATTTGATTGTCTCGCAATTCAACAGGGGAATTTTTCGGGTGGTCAACTTGCAATTTGGCCTAGGCCCTGCAATTTGACCCACAGAGAGGGGCAAAAACATCAAATTTGGTTTAGAAAACATTGCATTTGATGTTGCTTTGCAATTTGATTGCTTCACAATTTGACCTTAGTCCAGCAATAGATTAGGGCTAAATTGCAGGGCACCACCTTGTCATACTATGATGATGAATACCAAAATCTGGCAGGATGAAAAGAGTGACTTATTCTTCCCATACCTGCGCAGTTTTCTTTTTTCTACAATTACTTCAAATAATTTAGCTTGAGAGGTTCTTTTGTGTGGATTTTACTTCTAGCACACTGTAGTAAATTCAGTCATTATAAGCATATATGCCTTGTTCCAAAATGTATAATTTATTTTGACATGAAGAAATAAAAAGGGGAAGGAACCTGATGATGGGTTGATGACCAGCAACCTCTGGGATGCCAACAGGGTCCAGATGCAGACTGTCTGACCTGTCATTTGGTGCTGCCACACCTTGCACCTCTCTTCTCAACCGCCACCAGTGAGAATTCATTTTTTCCTTGGGCACTCTATTTTGCCATACATCCCTGTAATGATTTAGGGCGAATTTGCACTCAAGGGATTTCAATTTTCTTTTTTTCTGCCTCTTTCTGATGAGAAAGGAAGTGTACATGTGTTTACAATAGGCCTCACCATCTCCATCGCTCAGTGGTTAAGGCAAATGGCATGGATGCCAAAATACCAAGTGCCTTGGCCAATAGAAAGTTGATGTCTGCCCCATGACGCATTGATGCTGATGAGTCACCCTCACTATTCTTCTTTGCAAGATCTACAGCTTCAAGATGCTTCACACTGTCCAGAGACAGTGTGATTGCTCCACCAAGTGCTTCCACAAATCCTGAAAAGAAGCAAATAAACAACTGTGATTGTGTTCATTGTGTGGTAAAGACTGTTTTTTTCATATACTGTATATATAAAGGGAAATATCCACAATGCTTAAAAATCTTCTCCAATTTTCTGCAGATTTCAATATGTGGAACCAGAAGAGTGGATCATACACATTCTGATGTAATATGCCCTTGGAAGTTCTAACTTGAATTATTGTTCCTAAAGCATCAGTTATGCCTCTGTCATTGAAAAAAACAAAATAGGGGCAACTGTCATAAATCAACTTTTGCATAATTATGTATTAATGTGTCACAGCTAGTTTGTCAGGAAAATATTCTCATAGGAAGCTGCCTTCACATCACAGGTAGTGGTGGTTGCTATTTCAAAATGAGTATTTGAATTTTTCTTATATGAAAATAACTGATGGTGCATCCATAAGCGCAAAAATAAAGCAATGTATCATAAGGCATGGTATATTTAATATAAGGTTTGGACTGTATTTTGGTTTATGATTCTTGTCTCACCAGGGAAAGGGGGAGTCCTGAAGACTCTGGGCAGATGAGTGTTGGAGCTGTCATAAGCAATCTGGGTCAGGAGTTGATGTGCAGTCTTTAGGTGATGGGCTGTCACCTTGGTGCATCCCTTCACCCTATATAAATAGGCAAACAGAGGAAATGCATCAACAAACTTGTGAATATTTATCTTATAGGCATGATGAAAAGCACTGAACCAGTGCTGGTCCTAAAATTAATGGGATAGGACTTGAAGAGTTTTTTTTTAATAAACACGCTGTAAAAAGCCAGATTTTTAAATGCATTTTTATATATACAATGCATATAAATGTAGTTTTCCATCCCTTGCTGCTACAATATGGCAACCCAATTGTCCTGTGTATACTACAAAATACAAACCACACTAGGAACAATTTTTGAGAAAAAGCAGTTCTTATTGCCCCAATCTCAGATTAGCTGATTGAGTGTCAACTGTTTTTTATAATTGCAGCACAACTATATTACAGTACTGTATTAGTATTTTTATTACTGTACTGTAATAGCAGCATATACTGCATATATATACATAAAGAGGAAGTAGCATCATGTGTGCTTCCTTTTGTAACTAAGTCATAGCTTTAACACTCCATTTCAAAAAAAATGGCAGATCATCAAGAAGGACAAGAACACACCAACAACAAAAGGAAAAAAAATTAGTAGATTAAAAAATTAATCTAAAAAACCATGTTTTGAAAAAGGAAAAAATAAACTTAAACGTGGTGTGCATGGAGATTGTTGGGAAGAAGTGAAATACAAATGAAATAGATGCGCACCATGTTTAAGGTTATTTTTTCCTTTTTCAAAACGTGGTTTTTAGATTAATTTTTTAATCTACTAAATTTTTTTCTAGTACAGTACAGTCAGTACACATATAATTTGTTTTGCTGTGTGTGTGTTTTTTTATTTTTTATTTTGTGAATGGACAAGCAATGAAGAATTGCCTCATACCTGTGAAGGTCCGACGGCGAGCTCTGGAGTCGGCGGCTGCGCGGGGCCATGCACCACCAGCAGACCCCGGTGTGGTTGGGCAAGATTCTCGTCACCCGCGACGGGGGCGAGGGATGAAGCGCCAGCAGCAGCAGAGAGACGACGACACGCGAGAACACACACACATACACAGCTGGCACGGATGTGACGAAACCCCCGCCTGCTGGCTGTCGACACACCGACCCACAACCGAGGAGCAGCAGGTGATGGGGAGGAAAAGAAGAAAAATAAACAGATGAGAAAAAAATATATAAATAGTTTCTGGATGAGTTGAGTATATAAATATATGTGCAGCAAGGGGAATTCTCTCACGCATCTTATTCATGTTCCAACACTGACATCATATTTGCATGACAGGATATCACACACACACACACATAAAAATGCAGTGAGACCCCCACATGCAAGACACCTGGCCATGAGGGCAATTTGACATGGGGACATACAGACACTGACTTGACATGAGGACATTGCATGATAAAATGGAAATGCATTTCACAAAATTGACTTTTTTCTGCTTGATTGCCAGAAACAAATATTTCAAACCATAATATTTATGCAAAAAAATGATGAATTGAAATTCAAACAAAATAAATCAGGTGTTGATTTGAATTAATAAGAGCATTTTGGNAAATGGAATAATATATTCTCACAGATTTTGATGCCTTTGGTCCGTGTCTGTCCTGAATGGAATTCTGCTTGGCGCTTTTCCAAATCAGTCTCACCAGGAATGGATCTTCATAATTCTTCCAGTTTGCATAAGCCCCTGAGGAGCCAAAGGAATCCCTGAGCAGGTTCAGCACTTGGGCTAACCCATGAGAGGACTGGGCTTCTGCTTGAACCTGCCATCAGCATAAATTATCCAATGCTGTATATGATTATTATATGCACCAATTAATTGGGATTTAATACCTGTATACCAATTACTGCTATATGCAGTAATGAGTTGATATTAGATTTCAGGTGATGAGCAGCATCAGCTCTTTATATTCTCACCAGTTACTTTATATGCTTCATAGATATATGACTGCTAATGATGATGCTGATATATGGCCTTACTGAAGTAACAAAGAGTGTTTTGTACATGCACTGACATTTAATCAGCATGATGATTTGATTGGACTGACTTGGCAATCAAAACTCTCTCTCTCTCTCTCTCTCTCTCTTTCCTACATGACTCAACCATTTGTTTGGCACTGGATTGTGAAACCAAAATAAAACATGTGGTGATGGATATTATTTGCACAATTAAGGGGCTGTCAAAGATGTTATTTTTACTCATCAGAGAATGCCTCATCATGCAGAAGTGTGAGCAATGATGAACCAGAGAAATTCCATCAGCTTCATTGAGAAAATTATTGAGCGTTATATTTCTGTGAGATTCAATCAGCATTTTGCAGGAAGCAGGGTGTGCTGCTCAATTTAAAGATGTGATGCTTCAGAATTCATAAAATTTGATAAAATTCAGTGTGAGCCTGAATAAAGGGATAATGTATCAACCATTTTTTCCCTCATATTCACAGCACTCATTTGTCAAACTTGGAAATTTAGGGTATTTGGATGAGTATAAACCTAGGTCAACTGGAAGACTGCAATTTATTTTTTTAAAAGATCCTCAGCAATTGAATAAAACAGTCAAGATGAGCCTTTCTATGCTATACTGTAATGGAGAGAGCAGCATAGGGACATTGACTGGTTTCATAAACCTGAGTATGTAAAATGTCACCAGAACCTTCAGAAAGTGTACATTTATAACCACTCTATATATCCCTACTTTATTTCATTTCTTCTTCTGCTCATGAAAAGATAAATGAATAAATTATCATGTACTTCTCGCTTTTTCTTTCTTTCTTGTGATGAATCAGCACATCATGCATATATCAGGTCTTATTACTTGCAAAAAAAAGAAACTGATGAAACTGGATTTAAAAATTCCCATTCTCTCAAAATTCCCAATGATTCAATATTATTATAGAACTCAATAATATTGTAATATGAGAAACAGACTGACCAGTTTCGCCTGAGTGGCTTCAGACATGTTGGTGCCACAGTTCCACCTGGCCAGGGACACCATCTTGATGAACCTGGAGGCCTCATGGTCCAGCACATTGATGAAGTCCCTGGCAGCGGATTCCTCTTGACCAAGCGAGCTGAAGTTGGCATTATTATTGTTATTCCGTTTCCTCAACTGCTGCTGGCTGCTGCTGCTGATGGGGAACTGCTGCTGATTGA